AAAAAAAAAAAAAAAGATTGAGAGTGAGACTTGAAGGAATATGTTTTTGATTAGATACCGATGACTAGACATACATGTCTGTTTTTATTGTAATTTTGTTTTGTGGTATTCTCAGGTGCACTTGAGTTTTCTAAAAGTGATCAGTTAGTTTCCACAAAATAATAAGAGGTCTGACAGCTGACTTTGAAGAATCTAAAGAAACTAGATATAGTGCATGACAAAATAAAACAATTTTTATTCAGATCAAAAAGGATGGTATCTTTAATGGAAAGATCTAGCTCTCTATGTATTGAGAAGTCCTATCACCCAAAAAATAGCTATAGAATCTTTTCCAGGCTGAGAAAACATAGCATTCTAAACATGAAACAACAGTGCTAGTCTTCTCGTGCGACTCACTTATTACTATCAGAATATAAAAGAAGTTATATCCTTGTAAGGTCACTAAACCTACCAATGGAACAGATCCCTATCTATTCTTTGATAGATTGCTTAGGCAGTTGCAGACGAAAGACAGAAGACTTTTGAAACGTCGTTCCATACACTTAAGTTTTTTTTTTACAACAGGCAATTGCCGTCCATTCCAGTTTACTCATGAGATGTAGTTAAAGAATGGAATAAACTGTATTAAAATAAAAGTGAAAGAAAACAATTTAACTATGACAAATTAAAATAACTCTACTAGAAAATCGATTAAAATGGATTTATGGTAGGTTTAAGGCAAAACGCGCATAACCCAGGCCTGCGAATTTAAACTTCATAAAAGTTGATTTTGTTTTACGTAGATTTCGAAAATAATATTCATTTTTATCTATCACGTAAAGATTTTTTTTTACAAATCGGAAAGGAAAGAAAACTTTTACTTGGATCAAATTATTATTTCATTTACCACAATGAACATTTTTTATTATTATGTTTGGGTTCTAAAACGATCGATAGGACCCTGACATCGCGATTGGTGTCGAGAAATATATGGTAAGTAGTTCTCAACATTTTAAGCATGACAAAATGTAACCCGATTTCAATAAAAATGATTCATTTATGTAAAAGTACATATGAAGTGATAGAGAAAAATGGACATCATTTTCGGATTCAGAGTACAGAAATTACTGTAGAACATGTAAAAATTAAAAACAAATTGCAGACCTGTGTAATCAATAAACTAAACGTTATACAGACATAAAAAAAAAGACGATTTCACCAGCATTTCTCAACTCTTTCAAGTAAAAAGTGAATCTGGCTGAAATATGCCAAATCTGCTCTGCACATTCTATCTGTAATTTATCAGTCACAAATAACCATAAATATCTCTGCTCCCTGTAACATTCATGGATCAGTATCACGTACAGTGTAAGTAGAAAATATACCACTATCCCATAAAATAGTAGATAGTTTGAATTTAGTATCTTTCAGATTAAATGTATGGGAAAGTTTTAAAATTTGTTATGGAATATATTCTATAGAAGAATGAAATAGTGGTATTTGCATACTGCATCCTTTGATCTTGTACATAACAGTCTTGTCCTGTTGTAGTGATTCAGTCCTCATTTGCTCTTTGTAAGAAAAACAAACTTAACTGCTTCTTATTATCAAGTATGTGAGTAAAATGTTTTTGGATTTTAAATTGCTATTTAAAACTGCAACACAAATTCCAGTTTTTCTGGTGGTTCGAAAATAGTAAATTATAAAGAGTGAGTGATTTTTCTAACAAAAAATTTATTACTGAAAAATACGATTACACATTCGTGCCATAGTTGCAAGAACTTTTAATTTTACCTACCATAGTTAATACACAATATTTTTTTATTCAAATGTATTCAGATAATTATAATTCCAACATTCCTGTAAACTGAACGCAGGAAGGCTTTGAACTTGTACTAATCCTCTATCTTAGACAAAGATACACAATGCAATGATCATTCCATTTGGCTTGTTCTTGCTTGGCCTTGTTTTGTTTTTACCCTTCTAAAGTAAGATCTTATTCATTCTTTGGGGTGATACAGAGTCTTGTACAAGCTAGTATGAGTTGGAATTTATCTTATCTGAATAACTTTATTTGGAATGATAATTTTAATAGTAATCTAAAAATTGTTGGATGTCACAATAACACCCTGGTCTGACTTGAAAGTGTGGTATTTCATTATTCTTATTTTGATATTTATCCTGTGTGGACGTGTTTTGGAAAACCTCTATCTACTTCAGCAGCCAGTAAGAGATACAATACAATTTCAAGGTTGGCCCAAAAATTGGAGACTTACAGTTTATGCTCCTTTAATGTGAGTGAAGATTCTGTTTTGTTATATTTATTCACGTGTGTCCACTTGTATTTTCTTTACTGTGCATGTTCATTTTATTCTCTTAATAAATTTTTGGGAAAGCACATTTTATGGATGCATGATTTACTTACCTTAGTACTACAAACTAATTATTAAGTTTCGCAAAATTTGCATATATTATAATTAAACGTTTTGGAGTCTCGCCATGTCGTTACAGCCCATTTTGCTAAATCCAGTCATATTTTATCTGATGACCAGGCATTTAGACAATAGCTCTGCAATGTAGATTCTATTACAAATGGATAGGGTACTCAAATCACAATCTGAAGATCGCAGGTTCGAATCCCGTCCCCGAACATGCACGACCTTTCAGTTGTGGGAGAAGTATAATGTGACAGTCATTCCTAGTATTCATTGTTAAAGAGTGGCCAAAGAGTTGGTGGTGGGTAGTGTTGACTAACTGCCTTCTCTCTAATCTATCACTTCAAAATTAAGGACAGCTAGTGCAAGTATTCCTTGAGTAGTTTTGCCTAAAATTCAAAACAAACAAACCATTACAAATAGAGCTACCATAAGGTTGTCACATCTAAAGCACACCACTTTTCCATTCACATTTTTCATAATCTATCTAATATACAAGGACAATGGTTCCCCAGCACCCATTTCAAATGTCTAATTACATAGAAATCTATAGGTGCTGCATCTGGTGATTTGACTGGAACTTCTTTGTATGTAAGAGCATGAATACCGTTTTATTTTCCAGCTGCCAGAGGTATGTGATAGTTGTATTGATACGTCTTGGAATCAGCTTGCTTACGCGTGATTTGTGTCACTTTTCCTTAAGGAGATCCTTCTTCATTATGT